CTTATCAGAGGCTGAATATGATATTTGTTTGGACTATATCCTACTTACAAAAACCAACTATTTAGCAAATTATCACAAAAATAAGCACAAACACCATATACAGGTAAACTGGGTCAAGCTGTGTATTTGTATGACTATTTTCATCATCGCGTTGAATAGCCTCTTCAAGCAAGGTGGTCTGTGAGGCATCTCTAAACCTGCCTCATAAAAGGGCTATAGAGAGTTTTATCCAATCAGGATCACACCATAGTACTCAACACTAGAATCTCAATGGCACCTCTGATTCCCCAAAACAAAAAAGATTGCTTCTATGTGAACAATTTTCACATGTAATAGCATACAGGTGGGTTTGTTTGTCCCATATTAATTTAAATCAGCAGTTGCTTACTACCTGTTCCATAGAAATCACTTCACCGCTTTATCACAAAAGCAGCGTTGTTGGTGTTGTGAGTTAAGCATAAGCCTGCTGTTAGTGGTTTGAGCCTACTAGCTTCTCCCCAGGAAAAAGGTGAGGCTGTCCACTTCTGTAAAGATTTACAACTTCTGCAACCCTGTGGAACAGCTTCTACTTTGGTCTGTGGGGTCGCCATTAGTCAGAATCCACTTGATGGCTATTCAGTTTGGTTTTGTTTAGCTATTCTGACAAATCGTAATAAAAAGCATCCTTCCACTCCCTGAGGTAAATGTAAACAAGAGCCAAGGTGGCGTAGTGGGTTATGTGTTGGGCAGTGAGAGAGGGTCAATATGAGTCAGAATTGATTCAGTGGCAGTGAGTAAGAGTGAGTGTCCATAAAGGTGTTGTGGAACACTGCTATCCACTTGAGAACCCTTGGTTTAGAGAGAATAGTGGTAAGTCTCATAAAAGCCCCTCCCCCCTTTCTAACACACTCTTGTCAGGCAAACAAACTGTTTTTCTTGGCTGGCTCCCAATAGCAGTAGGAAAGAGGCGTCAGCTAGATCATATCCCTTTCGATTCAGATTTGGCTGATGTGCCAGAACAGAACACACTGGGGGATTTACTTCTGGCTCTCGTTTTTATATTTGAGCTTTAGGTTAGCAGTTTGAATCCATGACATGCTACAGACAGTTTCCTGGCTCCACCCTCAGATACAGTGTTCTTCCATTAGAGAGGAAAGGGGAATTTGTGATGATGATATATGACAAATTGAAAGGCAGCTTGGGCTGAATTGTAGGAGCATTTTTCTGGAACTGTGTCTCGGGCATTATAATTCATGGTTGTTCTTTTGTCTTCGGGATGTGACAGAAGTGTTGATTTGAATCACATATATGTTTTCAAACAGCTTGACTATTGCATAAACCAAATACTAGCCAGCATTAAATAGTTCTGGCTCTGGTTTAGATCATTTCAGCTTGTTAACAAGGGTTCACAAAAATGTTTCTTGATACCATTATTGAAAGTTTAGGGGACTTGGGAAAATTTTTATTTACACTTTATGTTTTCAATTCCTCTATTTCTCCTATTAATCAGAGAAATTGAAAGTGTGTCTAATAGCTGATAACTTTTTCATTTCACATGTTACAGAAGTTTGAAAAACAAAATAGCTACATTTCCATCGTGGAAAGAGAAGTATTCTAGTGTATAGGGTTCAAATGCAAATCCATGACATTTTACATTGAGTTTTAACCTCAAACATTTTACTTAACTCTTCTAGCAGCAGTTTCTCTATTTTTCAAATTATATTTGTAATATCAACTACATGTCGGTGGGAAATAACTATAACTGGAAGCTTCTAGAATGAAGGAAGAGGCTATGAGGTTATATTTACCTAATAGTTAATTATGTAGTACTAATGACAGAAAACTCAACCTGTTCATAATAGCAATCTTCTTACATTAAAAAAGTTCTTACAGCACTATTCAGGCATTCTCAGTGTTGTCCCGTGTGAAATTTGCTCCGGAGGCCAGTCCCACTTTTAACAAGTTTCTCCACAAAACTAGCCATAGTTAACTGTGTGATCACAAATTATTATCATCTCAAACTCTTAAACTGACTGATACTTGTATGGAATTGTAATTTGAAGTAGTTGTCCATTCTTGGTGACTTTTATAGAAATTAACCTGTATTGATGATACACTTTCGTAGTCACGTAAATAAACTTTTTCCTCTGTGTTGTAAGGAGATCATAATAATGTGTCCGAGGTCATCGTCTAATCCATTCATCATGGCATATGTATCTTGTGTAAAAAAAAGAAAAGCGAACTCATGTGCTTAAAAGAGCCATATGCTTTATTGCTTAATTTAAAATGCAGACCTGGCCTCATAGTTATGAAAACAAAGGCGTGAAGACAGTGGAATATCAGAATCCAAATTTAATTAGAATGAAGATTGATGGCAAGAAATGTTGTATCTAATGATTTCTGATGATTGCGAAAGCAGAGCAGATTAGATTTTAACCCTAACAGTGAAACTGGCTAAAGCCCTGGTGCTGTAGTCCTTATGCATTGGCTGCAATCCACATGGCCCACAGTTTGAAACCAGCAGCTCCATAGGAGAAACATTGGGCTTTCTACTTCCGTCAACAGTTACAATTGCAGAAACCCCCAAGAGGGCTCCCTATGGGTCAGCATTGACTCAATGGTAATTAGTTTGGTTTGGTGACAGTCACTAAATTGGTGCCTTTAGGAGGATCAGTAACCTTATAATGAATTAATTTTCATTTCTATAAAAAGGGGGCAATTCCTATTAGATGTACTCATGGCAGAGTTGTGAGGTGTCTGCTACCATAAAGATTTATAGTCTTAGAAACCCTCCGTAGCAGTTCTTTTATGTCCCAGAGGACAACAACTGTTTACAGTGCATTTCTTTGTGACCTTTGGTTCTTCCTTTTTATAAATATATGCTTAGCTACTTTAAATTTATTTTTTTTAATATTTGCATTTGTTTAATCAATTTTAGGGCCTCTGATGGGGCAGTAGGTTGCTTATACACTAGGCTGCTAACTCTGGATTGGGGTCTGCAAACCACAAGCTGTCCCACAAGAGAAAAATTCGGCTCTCTGTCCCTGCAAAATTTTACAGCCTCAGAACCCACAGGCGCTGTCAAATAGGGTCATTTTGAGTCCGAATTGATTCATTGGAGCCACTTCGGAAGGTTTTTCATTTTGTTTGTTTACAAGGTTTGGCACATTGCTTTAATCTCTGTTCAGACCCCAACTTCTGCACCTGTTAGCTAGTGGACCTTAGTAAATCTCCTCATTTTTCTTATTTGTAAATGGGGATAACAATGATACATACATCATGGGAATGTTTTGAGAATCAACTGAGTTAATATTTGTGAAGTATTTAAAACCATTTTGTCACATAGTAAGCTCTAAGAAATTTTGATTGTTAGTGTTATTATCATTACTCTGGTTCATATATTGTCTAGGAATGTTTTAGTTAGTAAGTGATATAAGTCAAACATTTAGAAAAATGCTTGTTACCTAACAAGTATTCAATAAATGTTAGCTAGAAATAGATACTAGCAGCTGCATTAGCTATGCTGTCTTTGAGATAATGTGTCATTAAGTTACTTATGATTTATAGCACTATAGAACAATGTAGCACCTATCCCATAGAGTATATCTTTATGAGAGCAAGTCACCTAGTCGTTTCTCCAGTGGAACAGCTGGTGGGTTCTAACCTCCAAATTTTGGTTAGTAGCCAGCCATTGAGTAGCCACTGAATAGCTGTTAGTCATTCTACTTAAAAATAGTTTAAGGTGATTAAATTTAAAAGAATCTTGAACTCATTTTGCCTATTATGACAGAGTAGGTATGGAAACAATATTTATGAGTCATCCTACCCCTCACTGCAAGGATTTTAAGTGTTATCTTGACTATTTATTGGTTTGGCATACACAGTTCATTTCTCCACATTTTTGTGGCATAAACTCCCTTACTGTGCAATCGTCAACATTTTCCAAAACATTTTCTCATTATCAAAGTAAGGGTGAATCTAAATAATTAAAGGTTCTTAAGACACAAAGCAGTTGACTTAAATGAGGGAGGGGGAAGGCATACACAAAATTGACAAGAGTGAATCGCAATTTTATAATTTTCCAAATTTAAGACATACTCATTTAATATAAAATGGAGTATTTGAATTGCTTTGCTTTCCAGTACAGAGGTAAAGACAGAGTTACATATTTCACATTGTTTCAGGTGCTAAACAGTACGTTAAAGGAAATCCAAATGTTATCTATTTGTGTTGTTGTATACTCTTTATCCCAGCCCTGTGTAGTTTTAATCCATGAAGTATGAATTATTAACTAAACAGCCTATATTTATATTGGGCATATTATCCGCCATAGTACATACTTCACTTCATATAGATTTCCATTAAGAAAATAGAATGCATAGATCACCAAAGCCTGTTCTCCTTAAATTGAAAGTTTTATCACTGAAAGTTTTTAATGTTGCTATGTGTAGATAGTGGGAAAGTTTCCAATTAGATAAGAGACCAATAACTGCAAAAGAAAGACTAAATAAATTAATGTTGATTTCTTCAATGTGCTATATAAAGACTTTCAAAGTAAGGTAACCCAATATTATGCTTTATAACCATATATATACCCTTTTTGTCTGATTAATATTTGAGGAATTAGTAAAATGATTAAGGAAATTATATATGTAATCGCAGAAACTAAAGATGATCATTTAAAACAAACTCCTCCCCTTTAAAAACCGAATGCATTAAAGTGTCCCCCCAGTTTTATATAAATGTCTATAATGTTGTCTTTTCCTGTAATACTATGAAAACATATCCCTCATGATAATTGGTTCCTAATTACGATCTGCCGTCATTTGGGAAGGTGACATTAGAAACATTGGCGGGCGCTCAGTTCGAGGCTTGGTCCTTCCGTTAACAAGCCACTCAGCTCTCCGGTCCTGTGGCTCTTTTCTTCCCACAGTTCTTTTTCAGTGATCGAGCTTGGTTTTAATAGTGTTCTTTACTAACAGTGGTTTGATTCTCATTTTTCCTCTTTCTCTTTTTAATAGTCTGATACGTATTTCTGCATGTCCTTGCGGTTGCCAACAGATGAGGAAGCCTTCGTGGGTAAGTAGCCTTTGGATGGCATTGGAGAAGAGGGGGTTCGTTGAAGCGGGGAAGCTATTTGAAATCACTAAAAGGTTTGCTTTGATGGTTATGAGTAAAATTAATCTTTTACTGTGAGTTTTTCAAATACATTTATCATACCTAATGCAGAAACAATCTAGAGAGAGTCACTGAGAGACAAGATTGCAAACTGTATCTGGAGAGATTCATGCGTAATAGTAGCTAAGGAGTTGCATTCAGATGTTGACGGCTGCCAATACTGTGTGGTCCCATTTGTGTAATATTGGCTTTCTGTCAGTGGCTGGATGCTTAATTTCGCTCCGCTCAACAGACTGTTTATTTACCTGCTAGTTCATGCTATAAATCGACTACACTTAGAATCAACATTAGGGAAAATTAAGGTTTTACCCATCAGACTGATAGATGAATAGGGAGGAAAAAAGAACGGAGGGTGGGAGGGAGTAAAGAAATTAGGAAAGGAGGGAGGGAATAAAAGAAGAAGGTAAAGAGGTAAGGAAAGGACAGAAGGAGAAAAGAAAAAGCAGCCCTGGCACA